AATAATAATAATAATAATAATAATAATAATAATAATAATAATAATAATAGAGCTAGTTTTAAAAATGAGAATCAATATATCTAAATTTTAAAAAAAGGTTTATTTTACTGTGTGTGTGTGTGTGAAGGTTTTGTCTGCTTGGGTATGTGTGTATACCACATACATACCTATTGAGTCTTACAGGCCTGGGGTTACAGATGTTTGTGAGCCATATATAGGGAGTTGAGCTGAGCAACAAGTGCTCTTAACCTTGAGCTATTTCTCCAGTTCCACCAATATAGTTTTTAAAATAATATTTAGTTTTTATATGTATTGAGTGTATGCCTGATGCCTGTAGAAGCCAGAAGAGGGTGACAGATCCCACTGGAACTGGAATTAAGGATGGTTGTAAGATCCTGTGTGGGCACCTGGAACCGAACCTGGGTCTTTTGCAAAAGCAACAAGTGTTCTTAAGCACTTAGTCATCTCTTAGCCCCAAGAACCAATATGGTTTAAGAAAAAGAGTTATAGCTGGGTGTGGTGGTGCACGCCTTTAGTTCCAGCATCTGGGAGGTAGAGGCAGATGGATCTCTGTGAGTTCAAGACCAGCATGATCTACAGAGCTAGTTCCAGGACAACACAAAGAACTCCTGTATGGGGATGGGGCGGAAAAAGAAAAAGAAAAGGATTTATTTTATTTTTATTTATGTTTATGCGTTTGTATGAATTATGCTCTGTGTGTGTGGGTGCTCATGGAGGCCAGAAGAAGGTGCTGGATCCCTTGGAGTTACAGGCAGTTGTAAAATCCCCTACATGGCTACTGAGAGCTGAATTTGGGTTCTCTGATAGAACGCTAAGTCCTCTTAACTACCGAGCTATCTCTTTAACTCCAAATAAGTTCTTTGGAGCAGTTTTTCAGACATTCTGGTAGAGTTCTAACGACTTTTTTTTTTTTTTTTTTTTTTTTTTTATAGGTTATTTTTGGTCTTTGAGAACATGGTCTTAAGATGTAGCCTATGCTACCCTGGAACTTTAATCCTCCTGATTCTACTTTCTCAGTGTTGGGATTGTAAGCTTGTGCCTGGTGTACTTCATTATTCCTGTGTTTTACATACATCTCACTTTTTGATGTGCTTAGACTTGAGTTACACACTTAAATTGTTTTGGTTTTTGAGCTGGCTTAGTAGACTCTCAGTTTGATTGTTGACTTAGGCCAATCAAGGGAAGTTTAAACCATTGTCCCATAATTAGATCTAGAAGGAGCAGTTGAATGAGCTGCATATAATAGAACTCTTTGGACAATGGTTGTTTTATTTTTTTTAATTCTTAAATGATCACCTTAATTTCCTTCAATTGAAAATTGACAACATGGTATGACTTACCACTCCATACCTATATGAGATCCTAGCTCATAGGAGATAGATAAGGAAGTTCAGGTGGTTACATAGGGGGTTCAAGGCTAACCTGGGCTACAAGAAACCTCATCTCAAAACACAAAATAAATAAAAATAGTTGAAACGAGGATGGAAAGTTGCTTTTTAAAAAATATTTTATTTTATGTGCATTAGTGTGAAGGTGTCAGGTCCCTTGGAATTTGTGTATAGACAGTTGTGAGCTGCCATGGGGGTGTTGGAAATTGAACCCAGGTTCTTTGGAAGAGCAAACAGTGCTCTTAACCACTGAGCCATCTCTCCAGCCCAGAAAGTTGCTTTTTTTTTTTTTTTTTTTTTTTTCCTCCTCAGTACAATTCTTGTAACAAACACGATGGTAGCAATCTTTAAGAATCGTTTTCTGTTAAAGTGAGGATGCATTTCAGCAGTGGCTTGTTGTGGCTTCCTGCTCTTCTCTGC